TCTTTTCCGCACCCGGACCCTGACTCCCACGCCTAATTAGGGATGACCCTGAGTTATATAATAATGTACCTAGTTATATAATAAACTACTTAATTATATAACAATGTGATGAATTATATAATGTGTCTGTGGATCATTACTGAGTATAAGTCGTCGTAAAAACATATTAAGTCAATAGTACACATAATAATAACAGTTTTAATTGTATATATTGTAATCCAATTGATGTTAACTGATATATAGTACAAAATAATAGATGAAGTATCCTATATTTTCACTAATACAACGAAAATGAGCATAACGGCAATGTTCTGCGCGTCTACCTGGGCTCCAACTCCTTCTGGATGTTGTAGTCCGCCTATATTGATTTAGTATCGTCGTAAGATCTGCGTGCGGGGAGCAGCGGGAAACAATGGCTAAGCCGTGTCGTTCGTCTGTTGTGAAGTATCCGACGAAAGAGCATTGTGGTGCTCGGAGGGATTTGGTGCACTGTTGTGAACAAAGTTCGTAGGACTTGGAAGACTCGTTGACGCGACTTGTGCGACGGTATCGTACGTCTGTTGTGTAGTACCCAACGAAAGCGGGCTCTGGTGACCAGACGGATTTGATACGTCCTTGCAAGCAAAGTTCGTAGGACTTGGAAGGAGCGTGGACGCAGGTTGTGCTTGCATCTGCATTGGCGGTTGAAACGTGTTCGTTCCGCGAATTTGTTGACGATAATGCATGATGTCTGAGTGGCCAGCGCGCACAGGCGCGTTCGCTTGAACAGGAATGAAAGGTCCAGTGAGGTTTTGACCGCTATTGACAAACTGTTGGCACGGCTGGATCGTATGATCGACTTTCAATTCTTCTTGGCGGCCTGGCACGTTCTGCAGGGGCAAACCAACGAACTAGAGTAGAGTGGTTAGCTGATGGTTTAAAGGGCTCTTAACTCAAGACGCACTGGAGTATTCTGCTGAGCGCTAGGGTACGCAGCTAGGGAATGGTACATGGGCTGTGCCTGTTCGCTAGTGCTTTGGCTGCTAGGAACCGAAGATAGTGGTTTGCGCTTCTTTGCGTCTGACTGGGCCTTCGTTCCGCTTTGAGTACCTGCGCTGTAAGGATCCAGGTATTTACGTTTCGGTCGAGTCTTTTTAGGTGGTAATTGAGATCCAAACGCCTCTCGAAAATCGGTGTGGGTCCTCTTATTAGGTGGTACATCAATTGAGGGAGGCATTTCGGTACCTCCAGAGCCCGTAAGCAAGTTCTTAATGAGGTTGTCTGCCTCAAGCAATTTTTCGACATCGATTGAACGACCAGAAGCAAGTATAACAGCCCGAAGAGAGGCAGCACTATGAGCAATTCGCGAGAGAATGTGTGCTGGTGCTTCGCGGCAAATATAACTCGATTCCTCGACGGGAAGCGAATCGTTTCTGGCTCTTGGAGCTGGAGACAGCACAGTGAGATCGGAAGGGGATATTTCTTCGGGGAAGAGACGCTGAACAGCACAAATATGCTTGCAAAAGCAAATAAGAGGAAATTCGATACATGTGCATGAGAATGCATCAAGATCGACTTCATAAAATGTCTCAGGCTTGGATGAAGACTGCACTGAGTACATTTGCGCCTCAATATGCTAGAATAATGTATAATTAGATAGATAGTCTTGTTTTAAAACGAAACTTACTTTAATAAGGCTTTTCTCGATGAGTAAAGCCCTTTTCTCAATGTCCTGACGCTTTTTCTCCTCTAAGTCATCGCCTTCGAGTCCAAGGTCCCGCCGAGCGTGCTTGGATTTGTAGTAGGGGACCGTAATTTCTATCAGTGTGTATATCAGAGAATCCATCCTCCGATTTCGCTTTCCCTCGAGATGATTCGCCTTTAATACATGATGATACCTGGATAGAAATCTATAAGAAGGCATTCAATATAATGGAATGATGTACTTACGCTTTCAAGCAGCATATTTGTGTCCGAAAGTTCGTGAACACTTCTCTCCTGCCGGTATACTGCAGACCATGGCTTGATATCGTTCATCC